GGGAAGGAAGGATGGCAGGATGGTGGGAGGGAAGGAAGGATGGCAGGATGGTGGGAGGGAAGGAAGGATGGCAGGATGGTGGGAGGGAAGGAAGGATGGCAGGATGGTGGAGGGAAGTATTGCTTGGCTATTCATTTTCTCTGGCAGCCTGGAGAGGGTGGCAGCAGGGCTGGGTGCTGCTGGTCTTGAGGAAGCAGCTGGCCGGGTGGCCAACTGGCTCCCTCCTTCCTTCCGTCCAGTGCAAAGCTGGGATGGAGCCGCTCAGGCAGATGCCTGGTGGGTGCAGGACCTAAAGGCCTTGCCAGGGGGCTAGAGGGCCGGACCCAGCGAGCCCAGGTCGAGGCTGGGTCCTGAGCCGGGTGGGTGGGGGCTCCTTGGTGTCATCCTCACCTGGTTTGGTGCCTTCCAGGTGCATGCCTGGGCCTGCTCCTCTCCTCCTGGCCTGCCACCAGATGGGCCTCTCCAGACCCCCAGAATATGCACGAGCTGTGAAGGAAAGCCACATAAAAGACTAAAAAGACCCAGGTGAAATTAGTTTCAATAATAGACTCAACATAACTCAATGTACCCCACATATGATCATCTCAACAGGAACTCAGTATAAAGCAGTGATTCCTGCACGTCTATTTCTCATGTGAAGTCCTAGGGTCTGGGCCGCCTTCACACTTATGGCATCTCTGTGGGGGGCCCCAGGGCCTGGGAGTCCAGCTCAAGCTCCTCCTCTCCACCCCCCAGGGCCACAGGATGGCACCTGCTCAGCCTCCCCTTTGTGCCTTCACAGAGGCCGCCCCTGCCCAAGCATTTCTCTGAGAAGTCCCCCCAGCTCCACTGCCTTGGTGGGACAGAGGAGAGAGAGGGATCCGCTCACCTACCCCTTCCTGAGGACCTAGACTACTGTGGTCCAGTTCCCGTGTCTGTCAAGGTTCCTGGGGGGACTTCTGGCAGATTCCTGGAATTTTTAAATTGAGGTTTAACTTACAGCTGTCCTAAGTGTACAGCTTCATGGAATTTTACACAATTTTTATGTATAACTTCTAAATTAAATATAAACACTGATTTTTAGGGGTCAGCAGGTGAAGAAACTGAGGCTGACAGGGGATAGCAGTTGCAGTGGGTGGAGACAGGCTCTCTGGATTCTCAGTCCAGAGCTCCCTGTCCTGCCACCCACTCTCTCTGTGGTCCCTTCCCCAAGGAGCTTCCTGAGAAGCCGAGGCCATCAGCCCCACTGCGGAGCTGGGAGCATGCTGGCAGCTGAACTTCCTTCTCTCACTCATTCATCCCTGTGATCAGGTAAGGATCCCACAAACTGTGTGACTTGTGCCAAGCCCTGTGGTGTCCTTTGGATACAGTATCTCTTTTAACAGCCCCCCAGCCCCAGTGATGTTTCTTTTTTTTTTTTTTT